TTCCTCCGGAGAGAGGGCAGCTCTCCAGCAGAGCAGAGGCACAAGCGGCTGCAAAAGAAAACAAAGAGGAGTTGAAAGCCTGGGGCTTAGGCAAAGGAAAAAGAAAAGGGCAAGGGCGAGCCCGCCCTGGGAAGCTGGCGTACAGGTGGCAAAGGAGAACAGAGGCAAAGAAAAAGGCAAGGAGAAAAAAGGCGGCGACAAGGAGGACAACAAAAGGAGCTCCTAGGCAAGGGAGCTGACTATGAGGGCGCAGGAGATACAAAGCCACTCCTAGGGGAGTGAGCTCTGCGGAACATGTTTTTTCAAGTACCCCTGACGGCCCGTTCGAAAGGGGAGGAGCCTCCAGCTACTCGGGGAGGACCCTCCTGGAAGTCTATGGGCGTGACCTTGAGAGGTTAGCCCAGGTGTAGAGGAAGGCATTGGGGAGAGGCCGTCCCCTGGCCCGCAATTTTTCGGCAGAGAGGAGTGGGCCTCTAGTCAGAGCGGCTGCACCAGTGAGTGGGCAGCACCGGCACGTCCTAGCCCTAGCGTTGTGGACTATAGCAGTAGTCCTCTAGGGCGTGCTGATGACAGCTCAGGCTATGGTGGTCTGAAAAAAGGTGCGTGTGATGAGGGGTCGCGGCAGGAAACGTCGCAAGCGGTGCCCTTGGTAGGTAAGGGTTTCCCTGAAGCCTCTACCCTTATTAGGTCTCTGTTGATGCTGTTTGAGAAGGAAAGTGAATTTGGGCACGGCAAGGCCCAGACTAAGGGTGATGTTTTCCCATTACCCACCAACACGGATCAGATAAGGGAGATCGGAGGACTCGTGGGAAACTGTCTGGAAATGTTGGCATGCCTGTGTATGGGTCTTGAGTCTTAACTGTTTTGCTGGGTGTGAATTGGAATCGAGCCGACCCTCAACCAGGTTGCAACGGAAGTTTGTGAAAAGCCTTGCGCAAGTGGTGACAGAAGTTGCTGAATGGGAGGAAACTTTCAAAGAAATAAGCTGGAAGAGTTTCTTCCAGTTTAGAAGTTTGGACTATGTAGGAGACGAAGTGGCCACTGCCAAAATCACATCGTGGCCGAATCTCCGGTCAGCTATACCCGCTAAAGTAGGTAGCGTCCCTATTAGTGAGGTTGTGGGGGAAGGCTGCCTCCATTATGTTCAAAACTTTGAAAGCTTTTTGCTGGACAGGGAGGCAATGAAGTATACCAAGCCTCCTAGGGTAATGGTCACTGATGATTGATTGGGATGCAGTGTGTGAGGGTTTGATAGAAGCTGGAATCTGTGGGGCTAATGCGGAAGCTGACCTGTACCACGTTGAAGGCAGACCTCTCCTTCACGGGATGTTTGGGGTCTCCAAGGGAGAGATGGAGATGGGACATGATGTACATAGGTTGATCATGAACCTGGTGCCCCTTAACAACATATGTCGAGGAATCCAGGGGGATGTGGCAACTTTGCCAGCATGGTCGTCCTCAGGGTCATTGTTCCTAATGCCCACAGAGGATTTGCTGATTTCAAGTGAAGATGTTAGACGTTTTTCCCCACATCTTTGTGTGGGGTTCTTGTTTTTGGTTCTGCACTCCCGCCTTCTCCTCCTGCCCTCCTCCCGCCGCCCTCCTCCTCCACAACACACACACACACAACTTCCTCCCACACAACTTGTCCACACAGAACTTGTCCACACACACCTTGCTCACACACAACTTGTCCAGACACAACTTGTCTACACTTACTCACACACAACTTGTCCACACAGAACTTGTCCACACACACCTTGCTCACACACAACTTGTCCACACACAATTTGTCCACACTTACTCACACAGAACTTGCTCACACACAACTTGTCCACACTTACTCACACACAACTTGTCCACACAGAACTTGTCCACACACACCTTGCTCACACACAACTTGTCCACACACAACTTGTCCACACTTACTCACACACACAAGTTGTCCACACAGAACTTGCTCACGCGGAACTTGTCCACACACAACTTGTCCACACACAACTTGCTCACACACAACTTGCTCACACACAACTTGTCAACACACAACTTGCACTAGGGGACATCGAGCGTCACTTTGCGTGGCAGGCGTGGCACTTACGGCACTGGGCGGGCTCTGGTGGCGCACCGGGTTCTCAGCTGACGCCGCCGTGGGCGCCGCGGCTCTTTGCTCTTTGCGTGGCAGGCGTGGCACTATAGGGGACATCGAGTGCCACTCTGCGTGGCAGGCGTGGCACCTACGGCACTGGGCAAGCTCCGCGGCTCTTTGCGTGGCAGGCGTGGCACTTGGTGACATCGACTTTCACTATGCGTGGCAGGCGTGACACTATAGGGGACATCCAGCGTCACTTTGCGTGGCAGGGCACTTACGGCACTGGGCGGGCTCTGGTGGCGCACCGGGTTCTCAGCTAACGCCGTGGGCGCTGCGGCTCTTTGCGTGGCAGGCGTGGCACTTGGTGACATGATTTTCATGGCAGATTTTCAGGCGTGGCACTTACGGCACTGGGCGGGCTCTGGTGGCGCACCGGGTTCTCAGCTGACGCCGTGGGCGCCGCGGCTTTTGCGTGGCAGGCGTGGCACTTGGTGACATAGTCGGCATGGCACTTACGGCACTGAGCGGGCTCTGGTGGCGCACCGGGTTCTCAGCTGACGCCGTGGGCGCTGCGGCTCTTCGCGTGGCAGGCGTGGCGCTTGGTGACATCGACTTTCACGCAGGCTTACGGCACTCGGCGGGCTCTGGTGGCGCACTGGGTTCTTTCTCAGATCACGCCGTGGGCGTGGCAGGCGTGGCACTTGGTGACATCGACTTTCACTTTGCGTGGCAGGCGTGGCACTAGGGGACATCCAGCGTCACTTTGCGTGGCAGGCGTGGCACTTACGGCACTGCCCTGAGCATCAAAAAGCCTTTAATTAGAGGATCCTCTAAGTACAGGTTTTTTTTTTTAAGGGGTAATCCCTTAATTAGAGTTTTTTTTTCAAAAAAAAGTCTGAAATTAGAGGTTGTTTTTAGAGGGTTTTTTTGTGAATAAGTGGGTTTTGGGATTCTAAGACATGGATGTTAGCATGACATGGAACTTTTCGTACCTCTGGGTATGTTTTTTTCGTTTGGAAGAGTTCGGGAGCGGCATCACTGCGTCCGCGAAGATTTGCAGCTCAAGTCTGGTGGAAGAGATGAGGAAAGCCTCATCCATGGATGTAGGCTACCTGTCCAAGGCATTGAGGGGCAACTTGTCTGATCTTCCCACCATGTGCAGCCATGAGACGCATGAGGAGCTTCTTCGCGACATTTTGCAGAAGACACCGCGGTTGAACAAGGAGGAAGCCGTGAGGGCTTTGCGCAGCGCTTTCCCTGGTGCTGACAAGGCGGCGTCAAGTGCTTTCGCTGCTAGCATGGTTGTTTGCGTGCAAAACATCTTCGCCAAGCGGAAGTCCATGACAAGTGGCAAGAAGTTGTCGCCGAGCTTGGTGCGTCTCATCTACTTGGCGGATGAACTTTATCCTGCGGAGCGCAGGGACCGAATGGCAGAGGCCGCACAGGCTGCTTCCGCAGCAGCAGGCAGCAAGGCAGCAGCATTGCCAGTTGCAGGCCAAGCAGGCAGCTGAAGAAGGTGGACAGTATTGTGTCAGTGAGTTCTGCGGCCTCGTGCGGGGAGGCGATGCGCATTGCAACACCACCCCGGGAAGCCGTGGCGGCATTGTATCGCCCTGCTGCTGCGGAGCATGTCTACTACACAGACGCAGGGCGTCAGACCATGATTCGCATTGGGCACGATGGGACTTAGGAAGCAGCTCAGAGTTTGAGCAAGGGATCCTCTGGCTTTGTCTTGGCTACTTTTGCTGATGGTGAGCAAAGAGAGACTGAATTGCCCAATCTCATTTTGGAGGAAAAAACACCACCAGCACCAAAGAGAGGAGTGAAGAAGCGTCCAGCCGCGGCGCAGACCGTGACGGAAGCAGCCCCAGTGAACGCTACCCCGGCGAATCCTGAGTCTGCGAATTTTAGGCTGGAGTACCGTAGCAAAACTAATGCCTATTCCATACGTAAGGCTTCGGTTGTTGATGGCCGCTGTCAAAAGAGACAAATAGTAGAAATTGTAGGCAGCAACCGAATTTCCAAAGAGGCCCTGAGCCAGATTGCGACAGAGGCGCGCAATCGTCTTGCGCAGGGTGAGTGTGAAGAGGCAGTGGCACACTGGGCCAAAGCGGAAGTTTCGAAATGATTGAAAATTTTGCAGAGGATGAAAAGCGCGGCTTTTTTTCTGCGCGTAGTTGGAACAGGACTGTTGGTTTTTTTTTGCTTGGCTTGTTTTTTTTTGTTGCTTGACTTGGAGAAAGAATTGGTGCTTTCGGCTTTCGCCCCTTTTTTTATTTATGGGGTGTTTTCGGATTTTTTTTGTGAGTGCAGTGCGAGTGCTTGCTTGAGGGGCTTGGACATTGGAGTGTATGTTCGTTTCCGCAGCCCCTTTTTGTGTTTCGACCAACTGCTCCTTTTTCCGATGGCCACCGTAGATGTGCGAGTCATTGGCGAGAGCTCTCCTGGGTCGACCGGAGGGTCGGGCAGCGGCTTTGGCGGCGGCGGCTTTGGCGGCGGCGGCTTTGGTGGTGGCGGCTTTGGTGGGGGCGGCCGCGGCGGCAGCGGACATGGCCGCGGAGATGGGGGCCGGGCGCGACATGGATGATGAAGAAGATGAAGAGGAAGACCTGAGCAAGTTTTCTCGCAGAGTACCTCAGGAAAGGTGGTTGCGCCAATCCTGCCTGCGCAGCTTGGATGTGTTTCTTTTTTTTGTTTCCCCTAAGAAAGAAACCCTCCAATAAATAAGGGAGAAGTAATGGTTTGTTTTTTTAAACACTTTTTTTCGGGAGCCTGTTGCGCTCCTGTTTTTTTTAAACGGTGGCACTGGAACAGTAAGGAACTGTTTTTCGCGACGCAAGCGAATTGGCAGTATGCGCAGAAGGGGTCCGACGCCGCTTGCAGCTGGAGCGACAGGTCCCAGTACTCCAGCATGTTGCAACGGAAGTCGAAGGGAAGCAGGCATCAAGACCGTGGCATTGCGCGCGGCTACAGCACGACTGAGAGGGCGCCGCGGCCTCGTGCAACTGCTGCTGCGGCGGCTGCTGGGACTCATGAGCCTGCAGCTAGTGTGCCTGCAGCTCCTGTGCCTGCAGCTAGTGAGGCTGCATCTTCGGTACCTCCGGGGATTTTAGCCTTGCAGAAGCGCTCGGCTTTCCCTTCACCAGCAGGAGCAAGGGGGCCATGGCACACGCCCTATGCCTTTGTCGCCAGTGGAGAGCCTTGGATGACGTTTTTTATTTTCCCCTGAAGGTATATGGGTGTGTTGTACTGTTTTTGTTTTTCCCTCCAATTTTTGTTTCGGGGTGTCAGCCACCCTGTTGATATGAGGGTATATGTGCGTATGAATAAACAATATAGTTAGAGCACCCTTAATTTAGGGATATGTCTCGGATATGTCAGTTTCCCGAGGCTACAAGAATCAATACCACTTCTTGGACCCCAACTTCGCTTCTGCATCGCAGCAGTCCCCGGGTGCAAATGGAAATTGGGGTGACATGGCAACAGTCCATGCTGCCGGCAGTTGGAGGGGATCAGTTTGGCGCTGCTCTGGCTGCTGTGCCGGGAGCAGCCAGTGCGCGGCCGGCTTTCCCAGGTTGGCCCGCGCCAGCAAATGGACCACCTGCTGTGCCACCAGCTGGGACAGCTGCTGTGACACCAGCTGTGGCTGCAGAGGTGCCTGTGGGAACGGTGCCTGCCGAAGCTGAGCCGGGGGAATCAGAGCCGCCTTCGCGTCGTAGACGCGCAGCTAAGGAAAAAGCCAAGAGGGCTGCAAAGCCTGCTGCCAAGAAGGCTGCGGCCAAAAAGGCTGCTGCTAAGAAAGTCAAGAAGCCTGCCAAGGGCCGCAAGGATTCTAAGTAGGAAGCTACTGTGCCGCTGACCGCCTCTTCCAGAAAAAAGGTGCGCCTGTTAGAGTCGTGGTGGGTGTCGAATGTGTTGACAGCTAAGTAACTGTGTCGGAGCAGTCGTGCAGTGACTACATGAGAGCTGGCCACGTTCAGGGTTGGAAAAGCATGTTGTTGTTGTTTTGCGGGAGATTTTTTTAACTCCTGTTTTTTTGGTTACCGGTTGGACTGCCTTTTCTATTTTTCGGGAGTGATGTCGCTCCTGTTGGTTTTTTGATGTTTTTTGCGGGGACCAAGAGAATACCTGCTGCCAGCATTTTGATGAGACAAGAATAGAGATCGCGGTAGAAATGTCGCAAGATAGTATGACTTCTGAACAAGAAGCCAGCTTGGCGGAATTGGAAGCGGCCATGGAAGCAGCTATTGCAACACCACCTTCCAGTAGCCACGCAGCCGCTGGACATGGGACCTTGCTGGATTCTCCAAGCACGCCTGAGGAGCTGGCCGTGTGGGAGCCCAAGCGCACCTTCAAGAAGCGTCATGCGCCCGATGATGCTGCTGCCACTCCTGCTCCGCCCAGAGACAATATCCAAGACTTTAGAGAAGTGAAGGTCCTTTGGGTCAACTCTGTTCCCTTTGTGCACTCAAGCAAGACAGGCCTCGTCTATTGCGGGACAGCGGTGATGGCTCGTGAGAGGAGGGGAATAGATTCTTACGTTGACTGTTTCACCTGTTCTTGCAACCTGCTGTACGGACACCAGGATGGATGCACGTGCGAATGTCATCTTTTGAAGGATTACTATTTGTCCTACCAACGCGCGCGCAATGCCAAGTCCTGCCGCATCGGCCCTTTGGAGCTGCCAAGCCAACCATCGGATTCCCAGGTTGCTGTAGACTAATTAGAGATTTTGTCCAGAGCTGTGATCGTCTGATCGCAATTTTGATGCTGTCTGCGCCATGCCTGGAAAGATTGAAATGGACTGCTGCTGCAAGCGGGGAGGTTGAAATTTCAACCTTGCAGGTTGAAATTTTCAACCTCGTTCCCTTTAGAAGTAAAGCAAACCAGGTTGAAAATTTCAACCTTGCAGGTTGAAATTTTCAACCTTCACCTTTTGTCCTGGGGTTCACATACTTTTAACATAGAATTTTTTGGAGACATGATGGTGGACAGTAGAGCTGATGACTTCCCCCAGACTTTGCCCTAGACCTGAAAGAGTGTCTTGCCATTTCTTGTTCTTCGTGGACATCAAGTGTGGTATGTGAGTGCAAGTGTCTTTTTGCAATTGCGACATGTGAGTCATGTTTTCAAACAGTGACAACACAAGCGTTTTGGTTTGCTTTTTCTTACCTGCAAGATATGAGAGACAGAGACAGTTGCTGCGTGGTTTGTCATTGCTGCTCAGCTGCTTTTGCGCGATGGCTCCGAAGGCGGCGGCCAAGAGTACTGCCACGGTGAAGGCTGCGGCCCAAAAGGCGCGGAAATTGCAGAAAGCAAAGGCATCACCAAAGTCGAAGGCAAAGGCTGTTCCTGACGCCACTGGAGTTGTGGCCGTGCCAGATGCCCAGCCAATCACCAAGGCAGAAAACCAACGGCTACTCAACGTCCTCAAGTACCGTGCAGATCCTGACAAGAACAAGAAGGGTGAGAATTTGGCAGAGGCTCAGAAAGTCTTGCAGGTAGGGTTTGGCAGGGTCTGGCAGGGTTTGATGGTATGATTGGGAGCCCAACTACATTTGAATTTGTTTACGTAGCGTGTTTCACAGCATAGCTTTCCCCTTCATGCCCTCTGTCGACCTCTTCCGCGAAATGCGCCCAGCCGGCTAGACTTACCGCAACTTGGATGAGAGCAAGAAGCAACACTTTCTGCAGAATTTGAAAGCCCACGGCCTGCAGAATTTGACATGGTTTGGGCAATTTGCTGAGACTCGTGAAGAAACCGCCACCACCACCCACAGTGCCACAGAAAGTTTCCTCACTGGGTGCCTTGTTTCTGCTGGATTTGCTTTTTCCGCAGGCTCCTTTTTTTTGAATCCCAAGTTCCCTAATGCAAGCAACATGAAAAAACACATGGTATAGTTATATTCTCATTTTTTTTCGCGGACGTGGGCTCAGGCCAAAAATCTTGGAGATGAATGGCTTGCACTGGACAGACTATGCCCCGGAGAAGCAGCAGGAATTGTTGGAAGCCTTGCTGGAAGAGAGCGCTGCCACCTACAACTTCCAAAGGGCGACGAAAGACCATGCGATTCCCGAGCTGGTTCGCTACTTCTACAAGGAGCAAGAATCGACTACAACGGCTGCTACCAACAAAGACGCTCGCACTTTCCACATCCATGCTGACATGGACAGCTCCCAAATGTCCAAAGCTTCCAAAGACCAGGTGGAGATCAAGATCGAGAACCCAAAAAACCAGGAATTCGTCACTGCTTTGAAGACAGCCAACCAGGGCATCAAGCGATTGGAGCGTCTCTACAATGATGCTCAGAAGTTGTCAGCCCAGTTGCAAGCTTCTTTGCCAGAGAAGCACAAAGAGTTCCAGAAGCAGTTAAATACATTTTCCAGTTTCTTTACCCAGTTTCGGCTCGTCAGCGCGGCTGCCGAGAAGCAAGGCAAGACCGACCTGGCAGAAGATGTCTGCGAGAAAGAGGGGGGCAAGCTGCTTCACTGGTGCGACCAAGCCGCCCAGCACATGGACGAAGTGACGCTGCTGAATAAGCGTGCCAGAGGGTGGATGGCCTAGAAATTTAGAGAACTCAGCTGTACCAGCTGCAATTTTGTCCATGTCCTTAGAACATTTCGCAACAGCTGCGGATGTCCTGCTGCTGGGACCAAAAAAGATCGTGCTGTTGAACTCTGTCTTCCTCCTTTTCCTCCACTTCCGAGACTGCAAGGGTAATTTTGAATTTTGAGAACGCTGGGAGTTGTCGTCGGCATTTTCAAGTTTTGCAGTCAATTTTGAAATTCTTTCGGGAGCCTTGCGCTCCTGTCCACGCGCGCGTTCGTGCTTGCCACGATTCCCCCGCAGCCACGTCATGCATTCTAAGAAGAAGTTGCCCTATGACCCTGGCACTTTGCCACCGGACAAGCGCTTTCGCGCTAATTTGTCTGATTTGTTTCTATAAGTGGTGACCTTGCAGCCCAGCGCGCCCATTCCCTGTTTGCAGATGCCAATGCTGCTGGGACACACCATGTCACTGACCTTGCTGGAAACGAAAGACCAGATGGCAATAGCGCGCGTGATTTTTGCTCCGACGCCTTCGAAAGAGCTCCCACTGGCCACCTTTGTACTGGGCAGATATCCCTGTGTGGTTAGACAAGAAGCAGAAAGAAGAAATCGTGCAACTTCCTTTTCTCTTACCCCACGAAGTTGTCCATGCAATGTTCCAGTGGACAGACATCGGCAATTTTTCCGATTTGGCCCACCTGCCAACGGATGATAGGGCTTTGCTGGAGACTGGCAACATACTTCTTGGCTGCGATGTGCCTCTGCTGCCCCTGGGCCTCTGGATGGATGGTGTCCCATGCAATTAGGATCGCTCCCACAGTTTGAACGTCTTGACCATTACCCTCTGGTGAACTAACATAGCAATGGAAAATGGCTATTTATAGTGGATTTTCCCATTAAGAATGGTGATTTTCCATTGCTATGTTAGTTCACCAGAGGGTAGTTTTCCCAGCGCATGTGGCCCTCATAGGAGTGTCCGCATACCATTGTTTGGCATCAAGCAACACTTTTGCAGCAAGCACAAAACATTTGATGCAGTCACAGTCTTCGAAGTTGTTTGCTGGTCCTTGCGAATGTTGTTTCTGGGTGCCATCCCTTCTTGCCGACATGATGGCCAACCTTTCGCAACTTCTGATGCTGGTCGGAAAAAATGGGCCCAGAAGCCGCTGCAGCGCTGCATGCTGACCCAAGTGCGAGGACGCCCCGCGTTTGCCGTTTTCTTTCTTTAAAAATACTTTGAATACTTTTCCTGTCCCCTTTTTCGGGAAGCCCAACTGCATTCGATTGTTTCTTTGTGCCCTGCGGTGCGAGGAGATTGGAAGATGCTCAAAGATGTTTTCCGCCTACCTCAGCACAATGAGAAGGCTGGCTGCTGCTGGCTTTGCCCAGCTACGCCCGACAACATGAGGGATGCTTCAGCAGCTGCGCCGTGGAGGGTGCCTTGGTGCACGACAGACTTGGTCCAAAGACTGCTAGCCCAAGGCCATCTTTGCAGCCCGCTGTTTTCGCTGCCAGCCTTTGCCATCAACATGTTCAAGCTAGATTGGCTTCACATCATGGACTTGGGCGTCGCTGCTGATGTTGCTGGAAATGTTCTTTGGTTATTGCAAGGCAAGATGCCGGGTGCAAATGTGAAGACGCGCGTCAGCCAGCTGTATCTGCAAATTGCCAAATACTACAAAGAAACCGGGGTGCAGGACAAATTGAATACTTTGACTGAAACCATGATTCGAAAGAGCAGCACCACCCCGCCAAAGTTGACAGCTGGGGCTGCCGAGTGCCGCCACCTGATTCCTTGGCTTCTGCAAGCAGCAAAAGAATGTTTGAATCCCAACGATGCTTTCGAGGATACGGTTAGCTTGATCCAAAGGGGCTCCAGGGATGGTTTCTATAGAGGGTGGACGGGGCATGACGTAAACATAAACTATGTCTAGGCGTAAGTAAAAACATATGTGAAACATAAACGAAACATATGTGGAACGCAAACGAAACATAAATGGAATATAATTGAAACATAAGTGACACATAAAGCAAAACATGTGTGTGAAATTTGCAACATATGTGAAACATGAGTTGGCCGTCCCCCCTGTGTCAAGCAGTTGCCAATTTGAAATCCAAACCTGGTACAAACCTGCAGCCAATGTGAAACTGATGTCTCCCACATGTTTCACATATGTCTGACATACGTTTTGTTTGCACAGCACTTGCGTCAGGCAAAAGTCTAAGATCTTATTCTGGGAAAATAAGATCTTAGGATTTTGACATACATAAAAAAACACAAGCGAAACACAAACAAAACATAAACAAAACACAAATGTAGCATAAACTTGTTTATGTTTTTTTGTGTTTTGTTTCTGTTTTGGTTTATTTTTTGTTTATGTTTGATTTGTTTTTTGTCGATGATTTGCGTATGGCCTTATTTTTTATGTTTTTTTGTGTTTCTTTATGCTTGTTTGCACAAAAAAACACAAAAAAACATAAAAAAATAAGGCCTTACGCAAATAATTGACACAAAAAACACAAACAAAACATAAACCAAAACATAAACAGAACACAAAAAAAACATAAACAAAATTATGCTACATTTGTGTTTTGTTTATGTTTTGTTTGTGTTTCGCTTGTATTTTTTTAATGTATGTCAAAATCCTAAGATCTTATTTTCCCAGAATAAGATCTTAGACTTTTGCCTGACGCAAGTGCTGCGCAAACAAAACGTATTTCAAACACAAGTGAAACACAGAGCAAACATTGTGTCACATAACTCCGCTCACCTCCAGAGAAGATGGAAACACGTGCGCGACAGTTGGGACACATGACTGCCAGAATGGTTTGTGGATTCATTTGTGTTTTGTTGATGAGTCGTTTTATGTTTTATTGTGGATTCACTTGCGTTCTGTTTATGATGAGTTTCCGATGTGTTTATGATTCACTTGTGTTTGCTTTTATGTTGCGTTTACGTTGTTTTATGTTGGTTCTTTACGTCTTTGGTTTATGTAAGGCTCTTAGCCTCAGATCTGGTTCCTATAGACGAAGCCCTTTGGGTTTACCTAAGGATACGGTCATCCAGGCCATCTCGTGCTTATCTGCCATGTATGACCTTCTCTCCAACTACACTCTGAGATGCGGCACGCGGCCGGGCGATTGGCTCTTCTCTTGGCTGCGCTGCGCGACGCTTCTGAGGATCCACTCTGGCGAATGAAACCAAAGGTGCATTTGATGCTGCACTTGGCTGAGAATCTGCACAGCCCCGCTGAGACTTGGACGTATCGAGATGAGGACTACGGCGGCTCCGCTGCCCGTTCCATGCGGTCGCGTGGCGGCACCGACACTCCCAAAGAATCCAAGTTGCCCTATTTGGGGTTGTTTTTTTGATTTGGGGTTCCCAAAGTACAGCTGCATTTCAGCCATGAGAAGGTGATTTTGCACCAGGAGTACCTGACATGTGGCTGAGACATCTTGGCCCGAGTGGGCAATGATAAGTATCCACTTGGTGAAGAACCATCTTGCTTTGGCTCAAGAAAGAAAAATCACAAAGCACATTGCCAAGCCACAGGCAATCTGTTTTGCAATATTGCTGGTGGACCTTGGAGTAAATCAAAGAAAGTATTATGAAGTACAAATGGGAACTTCACAAACCACTAAACCTTGTTGTAGCAAAATCGTGTTCCCCAAAAAAATGAATGTGCTGGTTGCCAGCCACTAGGTCTGGCAACCAGCCTGCAAAGCATATTGAACTGAAACAGTGTGTTTGTTTTATTGGTTTTTGTTGCCATGATTTGGGGTCTTCAGGCTACGGCTGGTTGATTTACTATATGCATTGATGATGTTTATGTGTAAAGGGGAGCCCCAAAAGACTAAAAACACATATGTGTACATATGTGTTTGTTTGGATGTGTAAACATCTAGACCAACTGTACCCCAAAAACATGACATGTATAAGTTGCACTGATCAGTACATTACTCCACAAAAACATCGAACATACCAGTCAACAACCAGTGAGTACACATGTGACACGCATTCAGATTTCGAGTTTCCTGGATGGCTGGCAGTATTCATCTCCCAGTTGTTAGCCTTTAACTTTATCTTGGCGTTTTACCCCAATTTTTCCTTCTCAAACCACTGGCAAGCAGAAATGTGAAGTGAAAACAGCACAAGGCTACCAGCATTGTTCAATCACCCTGACACCCGATCACAAGCAATTGGTTTTTCCATCAAACGGCGTTGGTCAAGACTGTAACAGCCCTCTTTGTACAGTCAAAGTCAAGCTAATCAAAGTTGGAGTCAACTCGGAAAGTCAAAAAGCCAGGTTCCCATGCTTCATGGTTTTCATTCCATCACCGGCTGCAACTTCACCTTGTTGAACAAGACCTGCACTTGTCCTTCTTGTCCACATTTGCCTTTATGCATCTTCAGGTCACAAAGTAAAAAAATGTAAGATCAGGTAGAACCAAAACATGCCAACACATGAAACTAACAACCAAGCGAGCCACCCATGCCAAAAGGAGCCGTGGTTTGGTGAAGCGGCGAAGCTGCCCACAACTTGCCATCATACGCAGCCATGACCGTGAACTCTCCATCCTGTTGGCCAAGGCATCATTTTTTTGGTAGTGGTGCTAGGGGTTAAAAAAGGACACAGTTACAACCACTTTTTTGATAAACCCCAGCCTGCAACACCTTCTGCTTGTATGCAGCATTGATATGTTTGAACAACTGCTTCTCAGTGCGGAAGTGGGACTGTGTCAACGATGTCAATTTCTCCTCCAACCATGTAGCCAATCGTTGACCAAGTTGACGACTTGCTTCCCTGGATGGCCAAAGATCCGAACAATATAAGGATATATCAAGAAAGGACAAACAATGGAGAAAAAACACAGAAGTTCATCACCAAAACCTGGCCTGAGGAAAGGGTGGTGCATACAATTCTCCAGGGTCACCACCAGGCCTTCCCCTTGCTCCAGCAGCTCAGTTTCAACATCGGGAAATCCTTCTGACAGCATTTTCAGATCAACCAGAT